GCATAGGCTCAAAAGATTTGAATTGTTTAGGTTTTAGGTTATAGGTTATTCACTAAATTTCTTTTGTGCCTTTTCTTCTTTTTAGGCTGTGAAGTCCGATCACATAATTGATGTCATTCAGAAATTAAGTTCACTGCTCACTAAGGTACAACTTCATGTTGAAATCCATTGGCTTTTGAAAATCATATTCTTGTGCGGAGATGCAGGAGGGATGGAAAGAAAAATTAATCTCCTGTTGCTACTTTGCTAGTATAACTGCCTTAGTTTTTCATCTCTACAATGTCAAATGATACTGCAAATATGGTAAAAATCAGGGCATGGTATCTACCATCATGACAATTCTATGCTTTATAGCTTATTTCACAAAATTTCTGCACATTATAATGGGAAGGTTATTTGGAGAAGTTGTTTAACTATTTTTTTGTTCTTTTTTGCTAATTGAGCGCTTGTTTAGGGGGTTCCATGCACCATTTTTTGAAATAGCAGCCATCAAAACACTTGGACACCTAATCCATCTTCGCCACTTTGATCCTTCATGGTCTTGCCATGCAAAATCCACTTGATGGCTGCACTCTCTGGGTCTAACTTGCAAAAGTTTTTCAGGTCAACTATATGTATGCCTAGAAAATAGGTACTAGCGAGAAGTCAAATTTCAAGAATCTCCCTTGTGCTGACGGATGTACTTTGTCTAGGTGAAATAATGGACCTCATCACTTCCCTTGGTAAAAGTTCTACCCATAAACTTTCCATAGCTCCAGAGTTGGTGCCCTCGCAATGGCACTGATTCCCCTTTTCTTGACGGAACATATGGCAAGGGATCAACTTAGGGATTGATGGAACATATGGCAAGGGAACACTTATATTTGGTGAGCCACTTAAGCATTAGATGACTTGTATATTTTGAGGCAGATTAATTCATCTTATATTGGCCGCTAATATATTTTGAGGGAGATTAATTCATCTTATATTGGCTGCTAAATTCTATGGGAATATTGATCCCTGTATAAGATAGTAGATACTTGTGAAGAAAAGTGATATTTTCTTGGACTTCATATTGAGTATTTCTTCTTGCCAGAGCATCATAAATCATTTTGTGTGGACTCCCGAAGTTGCAGCCCAATTCATCCCATGATGGATTTTGCTTTGTCTAAGTTAAAGCTTTTGTGGTCCTCTGATTGTTACAGTTGTATTTCTATATGCATATGGATGTTCCAACAGGTGCCATGGTTATGTGGCCACAACAGTTGCATTTGCAAGCTGGTGGCCTTACGTAAGCTTCCAGAATAATCATCAATATTTACTTTTGGGATTCTTGGATTGATAAGATGGAGTAACTTCTCCTCTGATCCGTATATATTCTGTCCAAATTCTGTGATTTGTTAATGATGGTTGCTGTTTTTGAGTTACATACATGGAAAAAGTCCTTTTGTTGCTTGAGTTTTACTTATTAGTTATATTTGGTTAAAGAGAAAATTTTGATTTTGATTTTGATGTTGTCATTGATTCATTCTATAGGTGACTGGGTATCCATTGAATCCACAAATTATGGGAGTTGACCTCAAGTATGTAAAGCAGTTTATAAGTATGGTTGCTGGCCTTTCCTTTTATATTCATTATGGTTTTCATATAAATTCCTTCCCCTGAGGTCATAGTTACTTTTTAAAAATATTAACTAGTATATGATTTTTTGTTTTCCCCCTTTTGCTTGGATCATGCCTCTAACAGATTGATAGTTCATATTCAAAAAATTTACAGTTGAATTTGTCATTCTTGTCCATGTTGGATACCATTATCTAACAGTTGTAGGTCAGTGTCCCAGGTTGGATACATTTTTTATTGGTTTTGTTTGCTGCTTAATGCGTTTACGGTAGTGTCTGGGCTTCTGCCATTGATATGAGATTGTTCACAATTATCCCTTTTGTAATTATCATTGAAAGGAAGTTCGGGAGTTGAGTCTTGTTTCTTATGTTCTTTAGTGTGTTTTGGTTGGGATTTGAATTGTTATTGCTAACTTATGCTCAAAGGTTTCCTTTAGGGAATTTTGCAAGGTCACTAAAGTCTGGGGAAGGGACTCTGTCACCCACTTTGAGTTTTCCCATTTAACGAGAATTGTTTTAGATCCGTATATGATGTTGACTGTGAATTGCTAAAAGTCCAGTTCCTCTCTATCAATGTAGAATTGGATTCATATACTCTGTGAGCTTTCTTCTGAATATGCAACTTCCTATATACTTGAATCTTTTTTTGGATGGATCATGGTTTCATCATCAGTAGTGCATGACGAATATGTGATCAGTAAATGTTTGGATCAATTAAATTCTCACAATTCTTCATGAGTAGTGAATCTGAACTGTTAAGTTTTATATATATTTAGAGTGTAACTCAGTTTCCTTTTAAGATGGGTTGCCCATGTTCATAATGCACAACTGTGGACCTCGCCAAAACAAAAAAGACACACAGCAGTTAGAATATCTGTTTTCATGTAATTCCATTAAAATGTTTGTATGTTTTGATAATGCCTTATGTTACAACCTTTGATATTATCTATTGTTTGATATGTCATTATACCTAATCATAATCATGAGTTAAATAGTCATTGAAAAAGGAATAATGATGAACTCATGTGTGTCTGTTTGGTTGTTCATGTCCCCTCAATGATTTATGATGTGTCACCTTTTGTAGCTTTATGTGCATGATGAAAAATTTAATCAGCCTATATTCTTCTGCAATAACATAGCAGGTTTTGTTGAGCCTGTAAGTCGAACCTGACAGCTGAAGAATGACAACAAAAGAATAAAATAGTTAAGACATGTGAATATATTCTTCTGTTGTCATTATGTGAATATATTCTTCTGTTGTCATTCTATGTGAATATATTCACATAGAATATATTGTGAATACATTCTTCTATGTGAATATATTGTGAATATATGTCATTCTATGTGAATATATGTCATTCTATGTGAATATATATCATTCTATGTGAATATATTCTTTTGTTGTCATTCTATGTGAATATATTCTTCTGTTGTCATTCTTCTATTGCCAGGCTCGAATTATTTTATTCTTCTGTTGAGCCTGACAACAGAAGAATTACAACAGAAGAATAAAATAGAATGACAACAGAATAATAGAATCTTGAAAGAATGAGTTGGATAGAGAGCCTTGTGTTGATCATCAGGTACCACCTGAAATAATTAAACACTTAGACACAATTTGACACATAATAAATGAAAACATATGGGGATTGGAAAGTCTTCAGGTATCGAATGACAACAGAAGAATGACCGATGTAAGTCGAGCCGAGCCGATACCAGCCGAGCCAAGCCTATATAAGCCGAGCCTAGGTATTGAGAAAAAATAAAATAGTGAAAATATGAAAAAAAAAAAAAAACCTATTACAAATTTCACTGAAATTTGTAGAATTTCAGTGAAATTTTAACGAAATTCAGTGAAATTTTAATATAGCAAAATTGTGGAATTTTATAACATAGGCAAATTTTAGACATCATTTTTTATTCCCAAATTAAACTATCTTTTTTCGTTTCAGCTACAAATTGTTGTCTAAAAATTACAAACAGACAATCTTCAAATTTTTAGAAGTTAATTAAGATTTCTATATCCCAATTCTTTGCTTTATAATGTGAACTGATACGAGTCATCTCTCTTCCCTTCATTTCACTCTCTCAAATAGACTGTTCCTCTTTCTTGTGTTCCGGAATGGTTAATTGGACATGGCCCCGAAGCAGTTTGACTCCTGACCGGTAAATTGGCTGATTGGTTGTTTTTTTTATTTGATTTTTTATTTAATATTGTTTATTTTATTTTACAAATTGTTTTTTTTTATTTGATTTTTTAAAATTTTTCTGTTTTTCCTTGGGTTTTTTTGGTCGGTCTCGATTTTGGCTAGAGTTGGCTAGCTCGGCTCGGCTTATTTTGGTTAGGCTCAACTTATATCGGCTCAGCTCATCTCAAGAGAATTTATTATGAACCGATCGGATGGGAGCTGAGCTGAGCCGACTAAGTTGAGCCAAGTTAATTATAGCAAAAAAAAGCCGAGTCAAACCAAAATAAGCCTAGCTGAGCTCACAATCGGCTAGTCCAAAGCCCAAAAATGAGAAAACCACATAAAAATTGAGAGAAAAATAAACACATGACTAAGATGAGGATGGTTTACATTATGGAAGAGACACATGTATATGTGATAAAATACAAATATTGAAATAGAAATAGATATTTTTTAGAAATAGATATTTTTGATTTGAAATAATCTAATTCATACATAATTATATATATGTAGCCATAGTCTTATATATATACTGTTACGGGTTCTCACTCTCAAATTTTACTCTAGATAAATCCCAAAACTACTCCTTACTCAAGTTCTCGGTGAGGGCCAATCCATATTTCATTGATTCACGTTCCCATAATCTACTGATCTACTCTCTTTTCTCTCTCTGCGTACCTTGATCAGAAACCGATCCATCTCTCTCAATGCATTTCTTGATCACAGAGCCAGCCGGCATGAATCTTTTCAAATATCTTCCTCTAGTTTTGACCATAAGGCTTCATTAGTCATTGATCAAAAAATCCATTAAACTTTTTCTTCTACTTTTACAATCAAGAAAATGGCGAAGGGTACTTCAAGCGAAGATGACGAGCTCAACAACGAGAGCCACCCCAGAAAGGAGAAACTATTTTGGTGGCCTTTACAGGAGAAGAGCTCATCGAGAGAAAGATGGTCCCAATTCTCACTCTAACACAAGCAGGGAAGCAATCTTCTCAACTTTCTTAGAAACTTGAAAACTTAAACATAATCCTTAATTGTCATTAGTCTCTGCTTGATCTTAGTCTGATAATTGTGTTTGCTTCTCTCTCTACGCTCCCCATTTTTTTAATATGTATGAAGTGTGGTGTTGATTTTTTTTTTGTGATGATGTTGAAAGGTAATTCGTCTAATATATTTGAAATATAAATTAAAAACTATCGAGAATTTAATTCTTGTATTTTAGCATGTTCTTGTATCCTTCTAAATCAAAATCGGAATGGGCTTTGCCTCTTTTATAGGGAATGGCTTTGTCCCCTCAAAACCCTTAGTCCACAACAGGATCACAAGCTCATGTTTGGTCTTGTTTTCTCCGTCAAGTCCTTCACTACCAAGATGGATCCGTCACGTAAGCCCGAAAACCTAACCTCTCTCCGTCAACAGTCGGTATTTGTAGGCTGGTGGCCTTACGTAAGCTACCAGAATAATCATCAATATTTATGTTTGGGATTCTTGGATTGATATGATGGAGTAACTTCGCCTCTGTTCCATATATATTCTGTCCAAATTCTTTGATTTGTTAATGATGGTTGCTGTTTCGGAGTTACATACATGGAAACAGTCCTTTTGTTGCTTGAGTTTTACTTATTAGTTATTTTTTGTTAAAGAGAAAATTTTGATTTTGATTTTGATGTTGTCATTGATTCATTCTATAGGTGACTGGGTATCCATTGAATCCGCAAACTGTGGGAGTTGACCTCAAGTATGTAAAGCAGTTTATAAGTTTGGTTGCTGGCCTTTCCATTTATATTGATTATGGTTTTCATTTAAATTCCCTCCCCTGAGGTCATAGTTACTTTTTACAAATATCAACTAGTATGTGATTTTTTGTTTTCTCCCTTTTGATTGGATCATGCCTCTAACAGATTGATAGTTCATATTCAAAAAATTCACAGTTGAATTTGTCATTCTCGTCCATGTTGGGTACCATTATCTAACAGTTGTAGGTCAGTGTCCCAGGTTGGATACATTTTTTATTGGTTTTGTTTGCTGCTTAACGCATTTACGGTAGTGTCTGCTGGGCTTCTGCCATTGATATGAGATTGTTCACAATTATCCCTTTTGTAATTATCATTGAGAGGAAGTTTGGGAGTTGAGTCTTGTTTCTTATGTTCTTTAGTGTGTTTTAGGTGACTGGGTATCCATTGAATCCACAAATTATGGGAGTTGACCTCAAGTATGTAAAGCAGTTTATAATCCATTAAATCCACAAATTATGGGAGTTGACCTCAAGTATGTAAAGCAGTTTATAAGTATGGTTGCTAGCCTTTCCTTTTATATTGATTATGGTTTTCATTTAAATTCCCTCCCCTGAGGTCATAGTTACTTTTTAAAAACATCTACTAGTATGTGATTTTTTGTTTTCTCCCTTTTGCTTGGATCATGCCTCTAACAGATTGATAGTTCATATTAAAAAAATTCACAGTTTAATTTGTCATTCTTGTCCATGTCGGATACCTAACAGTTGTAGGTCAGTGTCCCAGGTTGGATACATTTTTTATTGGTTTTGTTTGCTGCTTAATGCATTTACGGTAGTCTCTGCTGGGCTTCTGCCATTGATATGAGATTGTTCACAATTATCCCTTTTGTAATTATCATTGAGAAGAAGTTTGGGAGTTGAGTCTTGTTTCTTATGTTCTTTAGTGTGTTTTGGTTGGGATTTGAAATTTTATTGCTAACTTATGCTCAAAGGTTTCCTTTAGGGAGTTTTGCAAGGTCACTAAAGTCTATGGAAGGGACTCTGTCACCCACTTTGAGTTTTCCCATTTAACGAGAATTGTTTTAGATCCATATATGATGTTGACTGTGAATTGCTAAAAGTTCAGTTCCTCTCTATCAATGCAGAATTGGATTCATATACTCTGTGAGCTTTCTTCTGATGTTTTTGTTCTGAATTTGAAACTTCCCATATACTTGAATCTTTTGTTGGATGTATCATGGTTTCATCATCAGTAGTGCACGACGAATATGTGATCAGTAAATGTCTGGATCAATTAAATTCTCACAATTCTTCATGAGTAGTGAATCTAAACTGTTAAGTTTTATATATATTTAGTTGGAGTGTAATTTAGTCTCCTTTTAAGATGGGTTGCCCATGTTCATAATGCACAACTGTGGACCTCGCCAAAACAAAAAAGACACACAGCAGTTAGAATATCTGTTTTCATGTAATTCCATTAAAATGTTTGTATGTTTTGACAGTTCTTTATGTTACAACCTTTGATATTATCTATTGTTTGATATGTCATTACACCTAATCATAATCATGAGTTAAATAGTCATCGAAAAAGGAATAATGATGAACTCATGTGTGTCTGTTTGGTTGTTCATGTCCCCTCAATGATTTATGATTTGTCACCTTTTGTAGCTTTATGTGCATGATGAAAAATTTAATCAGCCTATATTCTTTTGCAATATTTACCAGGTTTTGTTGAACCTGTAAGTCGAGCCTGACAACAGAAGAATGACAATAGAAGAATAAAATAGTTAGACATGAGAATATATTTTTCTTTTGTCATTCTATGTCATTCTATGTGAATATATTCACATAAAATATATTGTGAATACATTCTTCTATGTGAATATATTGTAAATATATGTCATTCTATGTGAATCGATGTCATTCTATGTGAATATATTCTTCTGTTGTATTTACATATATTCACATAGAATGACAACGGAAGAATATATTCACATAGAATGACATAGATTCACGTAGAATGACATAGAATGACATAAATTCAACATAGAATGACATATATTCACAATATATTTACATAGAAGAATGTATTCACAATATATTCTATGTGAATATATTCACGTAGAATGACATAGAATGACAACAGAAAAATATATTCACATGTCTAACTATTTTATTCTTCTGTTGTCATTCTTCTATTGTCAGGCTCGACTTATTTTATTCTTCTGTTGAGCCTGACAACAGAAGAATGAAATAGAATGACAACAGAAGAATAGAATCTTGAAAGAATGAGTTGGATAGAGAGCCCTGCCTTGATCTTCAGGTACTACCTGAAATAATTAGACACTTAGACAATAGAAGAATGACCGATGTAAGTCGAGCCGAGCCGATACAAGCCGAGCCAAGCCTACATAAGCCGAGCCGAGGTATTGAGAAAAAATAAGATAGTGAAAATATGAAAAAAAAGAAAAAAAAACTATTACAAATTTCACTGAAATTTGTAGAATTTCAGTGAAATTTTAACGAAATTCAGTGAAATTTTAATATAGCAAAATTGTGGAATATTATCACATAGGCAAATTTTGGCCATCATTTTTTATTCCCAAATTAAACTATCTTTTTTCGTTTCAGCTACAAATTTTGTCTAAAAATTACAAACAGACAATCTTCAAATTTTTACAAGTTAATTAGGGTGTCTATATCCCAATTCTTTGCTTCACAATGTGAACTGATACGAGTCATCTCTCTCCCCTTCATTTCACTCTCTCAAATAGATTGTTCCTCTTTCTTGTGTTTCGGAATGGTTAATTGGACATGGCTCCAAAGTGGTGTGATCCCTGACCAGAAAATTGGCTGATTGGTTGTTTTTTTTATTTGATTTTTTATTTAATAAGAATTTGTTTATTATTTTTTACAAATTGTCTTTTTTTTATTTGATTTTTTAAAATTTTTCTATTTTTCCTTGGGTTTTTTTGGTCGGTCTCGGTTTTGGCTAGAGTTGGCTAGCTCGGCTCGGCTTATTTTGGTTAGGCTCAACTTATATCGGCTCAGCTCAGGTCAAGAGAATTTATTATGAACCGATCGGATGGGAGCTGAGCTGAGTTGATTATAGCCAAAAAAAGCCGAGTCAAACCAAAATAAGCCGAGCTGAGCTCACAATCGGCTAGCTCCAAAGCCCAAAAATGAGAAAACCACATAAAAATTGAGAGAAAAACAAAAACGTGACTAAGATGCAGATGGTTTACATTATGGAAGAGACACATGTATATGTGGTAAAAATATAATTATTAAAATAGAAATAGATATTGTTTAGAAATAGATATTTTTGATTTGAAATAATCTAATTCATACATATTTATATATATGTAGCCATAGTCTTATATGTATACTGTAACGGGTTCTCTCAAATTTTACTCTAGATAAATCCCAAAACTACTCCTTACTTATGTTCTCGGTGAGGGCCAATCCATATTTCATTGATTCACGTCCCCAGTAACAATCTACTGATCTATTCTCTTTTCTCTCTCTTCGTATCTTGATCAGAAACCGATCCATCTCTCTCAATGCATTTCTTGATCACAGAGCCAGCCGGCATGAATCTTTTCAAATATCTTCCTCTAGTTTAGACCATAAGGCTTCATTAGTCATTGATCAGAAATCCATTAATCTTTTTCTTCTACTTTTACAATCAAGAAAATGGCGAAGGGTACTTCAAGCGAAGATGACGAGCTCAACAACGAGAGCCACCCAAAAAGGAGAAACTATTTTGGTGGCCTTTACAGGAGAAGAGCTCATCGAGAGCAAGATGGTCCAATTCTCACTCTAACACAAGCAGGGAAGCAATCTTCTCAACTTTCTTAGAAACTTGAAAACTTAAACATAATCCTTAGTTGTCATTAGTCTCTGCTTGATCTTAGTCTGATAATTGTGTTTGCTTCTCTCTCTACGCTCCTCATTTTTTTATTATGTATGAAGTGTGGTGTTGATTTTTTTTTTGTGATGATGTTGAAGGGTTATTCGTCCAATATATTTGAAATATAAATTAAAAACTATCGAGAATTTAATTCTTGTATTTTAGCATATTCTTGTATCCTTCTAAATCAAATCGGAATGGGCTATGCCTCTTTTACAGGGAATGGCTTTGTCCCCTCAAAACCCTTAGTCCACAGCAGGATCACAAGCTCATGTTTGGTCTTGTTTTCTCCGTCAAGTCCTTCACTACCAAGATGGATCCGTCACGTAAGCCCAAAACCTAACCTCTCTCTTCTCCTACTTTCTCTCTCCACATTTCTTACATCAAATTTATATTCTAACATCCTTCTCATTTTAGCTTTTGCATGGATGGCTATGCATGGAAGATGGTTTGCTGGCCCAATCTGCCATATTTATTTCCTCTTATTGTAATATGGCTTCTTTTTTGAGCTGTTATGGATGCCTCTATTTGGGTATAGACACAAACATGGCATGAGTTTTTTCTGAAGTGGCATAAATTTTCAAAGTAAGGGATAGGGGTATCTCTCAAATTTTAGTTTTGATGTGCCACTGTTCAGTTTGCTTCTATAACAATGAACTTTGTAAAAGTTTTGCTTTCGCAATTTCTGAAGGGTATCAGATCCTTAATAGATGGTCAAATGTATGTCATGTCAAAAGGTATGGACCATGAGAGGTTATTGGATTGGAACTGGACCATATAAGTTCTACAAAGCTGAGTCTTTGCTCTGTTGGAGAGGCTGAATTTGTATGATTATAGATGGGGCCCTCCCTTGAGGTGGAAGGGGATTCAATGAAGAACACGTATACTACACTCCCTCAGGAGCATAGTTTACTTCTTCTCCCTCGATCAGATGACTTATTAGGAGGATTTTTTCAATCTAAAATTTTGATAACCACCTTAGAATCACTAGATGATTATTTAAAAAAAAAAATTTGAAATTTGAATTTTCTAACACTTAAATCTCATCTTCTAAAAATTAGACGGTTTCTATTCAAGCTTGAGACATTTTTTATTTCAAGTGCTTTGATGGTGCAATTAGGAAATTTCTTCTATTGATGCTAATCTATGTGTTAAATAGGTTATATCCCCTAAAACTAGTCTTAGGTGGGGTTTTTTCCGAGAGAGTAAATGGACAGTATACTCTTGAGGGAGTAGAATATCTTTTGGCTTCAATGAATGTCATTAGATTGGCCTCAATCAAGTACCTTATCCCTAGCATCTCGAACCATTTTTTTGACCGAATCTTCAAGATTTGCAGCTCTATGGAAGTCTTCCTCTGAGGTCTTTGAAGGATCGGATTATGGAAAAACATATATGCAATATTGTATTTGAACACATCACCATATTTTGTTAAATTTTTTACAGTCATGCAATATTGTATTTCACTCTATGTCTATCCAGTTTATCAACTAGCTACCACCAAAGTGTCTCTACCTTTCTAAGTTTTCCTTTTTAGGGTGAAAAGCTTCCATTATTTTTCTATAGATGCGATGAACCTAGTTGTATGTTGCTGTCTTGGTCTCAAAAAGCCCATAAACTTTATCTTTAATTGTTTATATAGGAGATAACATGGATGGTGAGAGATTGAGATACACTTAACCTTGCTATGTGCACATTAATATATGATTGGAGAGAGAGAGGTATACAAATTTACACATCTCCTTTTTGTAATTTTGTTCGTTTATAATTGTAATCTTATGTGTATTGGTTTTAACGCCAAATGTTGTGACTGTTTGGGGGCATAGCTATTTATTTATCAATCATAGTAGATAGGGTGTGTCTCTTGCAGTTTTTTATCATTATTGATATTTATTTATATTTGTAAGATAGTTTTTGAGAATTGGGGTTTGACAATCTTTGTCTTCTTCTTTCTTGCAGTGCTGATGAAGGAAATTTTGGGTTCCCCCAATTACCACGTCAAGGATGCTCTATTCATAGCTTTCGAACAATCACATACAAACTGAGCTTTATGGAGAGTTCCTCTAGGATTACGGTGGAGTTTCTTTCTTTTATATGCATTCTTCATTTTTTATTTGCATTAACATGGTTGC